CTCGGCATGCGCTCGCGACGACGCGCGCGTGGACATTGATCCTTTTTTGCAAACAATATTCTTGCACGTTTGAAGGCTTCGGATATAGTTGGACCAACGAGTGCGCGCACAATCTCTTGGCAGAGGATGACGGGGCAAGTCGATAACTGCCTAGCTGGGATGGTATGATCTCACATGGTCATGAGCGCAGAAGCATACTCATGTGAACATTGCAAAACAAAGCCGCGAACTGATAATCCAGGGGTGGGGATATAATCGAACTTGTTCTGCAACACCTGTGGTGCGAGATGTGTGTTGCAATACATGTGGCGCAATCTATGTCGGGGCGGCGACGGCGGCAACATAGCCGCCAGACGACAGAGAGGCCCAATACGGGCGGCGACGAGGCGGCGACGGGGGCAACATAGCCGCCCGAACGACAGTCAGGTCCAACTCTTCAAAGGACAAATCTGTGTACGTTTTCAGATTCGGCGTTTCGACTTTGGGCGAAAGGTCTGGCTCTGGACCTTTGCTTAATGCGACTGTTTGGAATTGTGCGCCATGAGGGGGAGGAAACCCTGAAAGAGGCGCCAGAGACAGTCAAGATCTGCTCCAGTGGGGGGGGAAGAGAGAGAGAGAGAGAGAGAGAGAGAGAGCGAGAGATAGGGGGTGCGAGGGCCCGCGCCGATCGGCAGAACGAGGAATCAGAAAGCGATCGCTGCAGTCGGTGGACCCCTGCATGCAGGCACTGTCCTGGGCCCTCGGGACGGGCAGGGCCGATAAGTAGGGGAACAAAGAATGACACGAACAGAACAACTCGGAGGTCCGCGCGGATTTCTCGGATCCGCGCTGGACCCCCCTCCCTGGCACGCGGAGCCCGCCAGGGGCGGCTCTGGAGGCGCCGCCAAGGGGGGTCCAGCGCGGATCCGAGAAATCCGCGCGGACCTCCGAGTTTTTATGTTCATGTCACTTTTTTGTTCCCCTAAGCGTGGCTTGACTTGAGCCAAAATGGCTACGGAAGGCCGTCTGCTGGATCCTGAGACCGCCTGCCCTCCCAAGGGGAGGAGGAGCAGGACGAGGAGGAGGAGGAGATAGAGGGGGAGGAGGAGGAGGAGGAGGAGGAGATAGAGGAGGAGAGAGGAGGGAGGAGGAGGAGGAGGAGGAGGAGGAGGAGGAGGAGGAGGAGGAGGAGGAGGAGGAGGAGGAGGAGGAGGAGGAGGAGGAGTTTTGATATTCATGCCATTCTTCGTTCCCCTAGTAAGGGCCTGCGGCGGCGGGCAGCCTTCCGCCGGCCCTCGGCGCTCCGAGCTGGCCCTGGGCGCTGCTGCGGCCAAGGGCGGTGCGCCTCGCCCTCGTCGGCGGCCGCTGCTCGTCCTCTCGCCGCGCTCCGCCTCGGCTGCCCGGTGCTCTCGGCGGAGCTCCGCGTGCGTGCGCGTTTTGAGACGGGCATCGCCGCGGTGTGCGCAGCTTGGGGGTGGCACCGTCACGCGGCACGGCATGCCACGCCCCCGCCTGCCTCCTCCCGCCCCTCTCCTGCCTCCCGCCTTGCTCCCTCCTCCCTCGTATTCTCCTCCCGCCTTCCTCATACATGTTCCTCCCTCTTCTCCCTCGTTCCCCAAACAGCGCTTGCACTCAGGGTCTCCTACTTCTGGTATGAGGAACTGGGCCTTTGTGTTGGTGTGGTTCCGTGCCGACCGTCGCCGCCCGACGCTTGGGCTTATGTGTCGGTCTGGCGGCTCCGTGCTGGCAATCGCCGCCCCGTCGCCGCCGCGTCGCCGCCCCGTCGCCGCCCGTCGTCTCGGCCGTGTCTTCGGTCTGGCGGCTATGTGGCCGCCGTTGCCACTTTGTCGCCACCCTAATTTGCACAACGTAGATTCTCCTTTCTTGAAACGAATTAGATTCTACCCCCCCCAGGATTTCGCGTCCCCTATTTCGTATTGCAATTTACATATGATTTTGCCCCATCGTCCACCGTACATATGAATTCGTACCATCCCAAGGGGACCAGTATCGCCCCCCCCCGCCATCTTCTGCAGAAGTACAATGCGCGTGCATTCGTTCATTACACATCATCAATTTCCAAAAATGCCTAACACGGAAACGGGGCGAACTGCACACGCGCGCCGCATGCCCAAATCCATCAAAAAACGTACGTTTCGCAAGGACTTCAAAATCGAGTATCCAAAACACCTGACAAAACACATGGTTTCGCAACGCGGATTTTCAAACCAAAGTTGGGCGCGCGCTCTTGCGAATTCGTGCGAACACCGTTTTTCTTCACATTTTCATAACATGCTACCAAACGGGCTTTGCGCGCGCATGTCGAAATCGTTCGAACGCCTTTGCGCGCGTACTGTCGTCAGAACCCTTTGCAGACCACATGACGAAGTGCACGCGCGAACGCGCGTCGTCGCGCGCGCATGCCGGAAGCAGTCAACAACGTTAGGTTTCATGAGGATTTCAAAACCGAGTGTCCCGAAAACAAAGAAAACACACATGATTACGCAACGTCAATTTCAAAAAAGCCTGAGCTCGCGCTCTTGCGACTTCGAAGCAAAACAATGCGATTTTTTTAAACATGTTTACGGAATTCTGCCAAGCGGGCTTTTCGAGCCGCGTGCCGAAATCATTCGAATGTTCTTGCGTGCGTGCTGGGGGGAAGGGGGCGCGATCCGTGTCAACTGATACCATGCGCGCCACTTTCGCGCGTCGGTCGCGAGCGCTTGGCGAGCTCTTTCCAAAACCTTCATCACCGACGCGAGGACGCCGTCGTCGGCGTGATCAACATCGGCGCCTCACTGGCCGTACCGTCCTCGCTGCCAGCATCGTCACCAACATCGCTACAACCATCATCGTGTTTACCGTTGTCGACCTTGCCATGATACCGCGCCTGCCCAAGTCGCCGACTCGCACTGAAGTGCCCGCTGGGATGTGCCCAGCGGTCAACGCCACCGCGGCTGCGTCGGTCGCGCCAAACAAGCTGGCCGCTGCGCGTACGCGTATGCGCGGGCTGGCGCGGCCGCAGAGACGCACCAGCCACAGCCAAGCATTCATCGTCGCCGCCGCACGGGGTTTGCAAACCAAGTTGCGGGTGGTTGGGTGGGCTATTCGCGCGAGCAGTGGAATGGACAATTTCAAGTTGAGCATTGATTAATAGCACCCCTTAGGCTGCACCATGAAGATTGCACGTCGTAGATTGAACAGCATCGAATGCACCACATGGGTTGCACAACATACATTGCGCCACCTAGAACTAATAACATATACTGCACCACAAATATTGCATCACCTATATAACACCAGCTGGACTGCGCCACATAGATTGCACAACACACGCTGCTACAAGCGCATTGTCCGCTCCCTCGTATCTTACTCCCTCGACCCCATGGTCCTGATCCCCCTCCTCATCGCCACTCCTTCCCCATCATCCAACACTCCTCATCCTCATCATTACGCATCACCTGCTCGTCATGATCGTCTAAGTGGTCCACAACAAGGGTAGGAAGTGGCAAGAACAACCACGCATTGATGCTTGTCGAATCACGATTGCCTGGCAGTGGGGGGCGGTACTTGAAGCTCCGCCCCTAACCAGTCTCATGGCGCCAGTGGCACAAAGAAAAGAAAGGCTCCTTCCACTCACCCCAGTTCAAGTAGTCCTCCCAAGCATGATGAATTATCCCGTCACCTTGCGCGCAGCAATAGCGCGAGCATGCTGCGACGATGTCCGCCACCGTGCCTCTGGGCACGGGACGGGCGTGTCCTCAGATCCTTTGCCTCATCCTCTAAGCCTCAGTCCTCACTACTGAAAGGGTCTTTACTGCGCCCGGACCCCTATTTCTGACATTTGGCGGGCTGGTGCGTGCCCCCTGGGGCTTGGCGCGTATCGCCTGGGCTCTGGGAAATGTTCTCGAATGATTTTTCCAAGACCACAAGGGCCCCAAGACGGGCCATGAGGGCGCCAACCAGTCTCCCAGAGGTCCAAGAGGGCCCCGCGACGCTCAAAGATCGGCCCGATGCGCCCAAGATGGCCTCGAGATGACCCAAGAGGCCTCCAAGACGCCCCAAGAGGCTTCCCAGAGGTCTCCCAAGGGGCAACAATCATTGATTTTCCGTCGGTCTTTGACGGACTTGGGCGTTTTCCCGTTTTCGGCTTTCCAACGCTTCCAGACGGCCCAAGAGACCCCCAAGACCACCCCAAAGCGGCTCAAGAGGCCTCCAAGAGGACCCCAAGACGACCTAAGAGCGGCCCAAGACGGCCCAAGAGGCGCCCAAGACGGCCCAAGAGGGCCCCAAGACGGTCCCAAAAGGGGCACCATAGAGGGAACACGAACAGAAAATCCGAGTCTTCCGCCCCAAGAAGCGCCCAGGAGGCGCCAAAAGGCGCCCCGGAGCCCCAAGCGGCCCCCAAGAGGCCCCCAAGAGGCTCCAACAGGCCCCCAAGAGGCCCACAAGAGGCCCCAAGAGGCCCCCAAACGGCCACCAAGAGTTATTCAAACTGCCTCCAAGAGGCCCCCGAGAGGCCTTCCAGGAGATCCCAACGAACGTCCAATAGGCTCCATACCACATCCCAGGCACGGTGGCGGGAGGGGCCGAAGACCATTAAGTCCGCCGCCCCCTGCTTGCAGGGGTGCACGGCGTGCTGGACGATTCAGGTTTTGGTTTTGGTTCTTTTTCTAAAAGAACTCCCCAGTGGGCTTCGGCCCGTCCCGCCGGCCACCCGCGCACCTCCCAAAATCCGTCTGTCAATGCCCAAAAACGGCCGTTTCGCTCGGGACATCCTCAAAAAATCGCGAAGATGGCCCAAGATGGCCTCCAAGTCCGCCCGAGATGGTCCAAGACGGCCTCCAAAACGGCCCAAGAGAGTCCAAGACGGCCCAAGACGGCCCAAGAGGCCCCCCAGAGGCCTCCCAGACGGCCCAAGAGGCCTCCAAGAGGTCCTCCAGGAGAGTCCGAAGAGGCCAAAATCATTGATTTTCCTTGGTTTTTGAAGGATTTTGGCATTTGCGCCTTTTCGGCTCTCCGACGGCTCAAGACGGCCCAAGAAGCCCCCAAGATCGCCCAAGAGGCCCCCAAGAGAGCCCCATGATGGCCCAAGTGGCCTCCAAGATGGCCCCTAGAGGGCCCCAAGAGGGCCCAAGAGGCCTCCAACACGCCCAAGATGGCCTCCAAGACGCCCAAGATGGCCTCCAAGACGGCCCTGGAGCATTCCAAGCGGGCCCCAAGTCGGCCCATAGAGGCCCCCCAAACGGCTTCCGACGGCTTCAGACGTGCCAGGAACCCACCAAGATGGCCGAAGTTGGCTCGAAGCTGGCCCGAGACGGCCCAAAAAGCCCCAAAGATCGCCCAAAGCTTGCCCAAGAGGCCTCCAAGACGGCCAAGATGACCTTCAAGATGCCCACGTGTTCCCCGAAGGCTTTCCAAACCGATTCGGGGAACACGTGGTCCGATAGCTTGGCAGGTCTGGCCTCAACGTTCGGCCACATAGGCGCTTCCAAAAAGGCAGGGGGCGGCGGTGATTCGCCGTAGGCGTCTTCGATCCGCCGCCCCCTGTCGATTCATCGCAGGGGTGCCTGGCGTGCCGGATCCTATCGGTTTTGGTTTTGGTTCTTTTTCCAGAAAGAACTCCCCCTGGGGCTTCGGCCCGTCCCGCCGGCCACCTGGAAAGGTGCTCAATCCGGAACAAAATCCTCCAAGACGGCTCAAGATGGCGTCCAAGATGGCCAAGATGGCCTCCAAGATGGTCCAAGATGGCCTCCAAATCCGCCCAAGATGGTCCAAGACGGCCTCCAAGACGGCCCAAGAGAGTCCAAGACGGCCCATGAGGCCCCCCAAGGCCTCCGAGACGGCCCAAGAGGCCTCCAAGAGGTCCTCCAGGAGGGCCCGAAGAGGCCGAAATCATTGATTTTCAATAGGTTTTTGTGAAGGATTTTGGCATTTGCGCCTTCTCGGCATTCCGACGGCTCAAGACGGCCCAAGAGGCCCCCAAGATCGCCCAAGAGGCCCCCAAGAGGGCCCATGACAGCCCAAGTGGCCTCCAAGATGGCCCCAAGAGGGCCCCAACACGGCCCAAGAGGCCTCCAACACGCCCAAGATGGCCTCCAAGACAGCCCCGAAGCGCCCCAAGAGGGTCCCCCGTTGGCCCAGAAAAGGCCCCCAAGACGGCTCCCGACGGCGTCAGACGTGCCAGGAACCCACCAAGATGGCCGAAGTTGGCTCGAAGCTGGCCCAAGACAGCCCAAGAGGCCCCCAAGAGGGCCTCCAGGAAGGCCCGAAGAGGCCAAAAACATTGATTTTCCTGAAGTGTTTGACGGATTCTGAAATTTGCTTCTTTTCGGCCTTCCGACGGCCCGAGACGGCCCAAGAGCCCCCAAAGATCGCCCAAGAGCCCTCCACGACGGCCAAGATGACCTTCAAGATGCCCACGTGTTCCCCGAAGGCTTTCCAAACCGATTCGGGGAACACATGGTCCGATGGCTTGGCAGGTCTGGCCTCAACGTTCGGCCACATAGGCGCTTCCGCAAAGGCAGGGGGCGGCGGTGATTCGCCGTAGGCGTCTTCGATCCGCCGCCCCCTGTTGATTCATCACAGGGGTGCCCGGCGTGCTAAAGCTTTTCGGTTTTGGTTTTGGTTCCTTTCCAAAAGAACTCCCCCCTGGAGCTCAATTCCCCCCAAAATCCTCCAAGACGGTCCAAGAAGGCCTCCAAGATGGCCACGTCGGCCCAAGATGGCCTCCAAGACGGTCCAAGGTGGCCTCCAAGTTCGCCAAAGATGGTCCAAGATGGCATCCAAGACGGCCCAAGAGGGTCCAAGATACCTCCAAGTTCACCCAAGAAGCCTCCAAGACGGCCCAAGAGGTCTCCAAGAGGTCCTCCAGGAGGGCCCGAAGAGGCCCAAATCATTGATTTTCATTTTTTTTTTTTTTTTCTTTTTTTTTGTTTTGTTTTTGTTTTTGTTTTGTTTTTTTAAAAGTATTTTGGCATTTGCCTCTTCTCGGCATTCCGACGGCTCAAGACGGCCCAAGAGGCCGCCAAGATCGCCCCAAGAGGCCTCCAAGACGGCCCCAAGAGGGCCCCACGAGGCCTCCAAGACGACCGCGATAGCCTCAAAGACGGCCCCGAAGCGCCCCAAGAGGGCCCCAAGCCGGTTCAGGGAGGCCCCCAAGGCGGCTCCCGACGGCGTCAGACGTGCCAGGAACCCACCAAGATGGCCGAAGTTGGCTCGAAGCTGGCCCAAGACGGCCCAAGAGGCCTCCAAGAGGGCTTTTTATTTTCCTAAGGTTTTTGAAGGGTTTTGATATTTGCTTCTTTTCGGCCTCCCGACGGCCCGAGACGGCCCAAGAGCCCCCAAAGATCGCCCAAGAGGCCTCCAAGATGGCCCCAGAACGGCCCAAGAGGCCCCCAAGACGGCCTCAAGAGGCCACCAAGACGGCCCAGGAGGCCTTCAAGACGCCCAAGATGGCATCCAAGACGGCCCTGGAGCATTCCAAGAGGGCCTCACAGAGAGGCCCCCAAACGGCTCCCACGGCGTCAGACGGGCCAGGAGCCCACCAAGACGGCCGAAGATGGCCTCAAGATGGCCCAAGACGGCCCAAGATGCCTCCAAGAGGGCCTCCAGGAAGGCCCGAAAAGGCCAAAATCTTTGATTTCAAATGAGTTTTTGAAGGATTGTAGCATTTGCTTTTTTTCGGCCTTCCGACGGCCCGAGACGGCCCAAGTGCCCCCAACGATCGCCCAAGAGGCCCAAGACGGCCCCAAGAGGCCCCCAAGACGGCCCAAGAGGCCTCCAAGATGCTCAAGATGGTCTCCAAGACGGCCCAAGAGCCCTCCAAGACGTCCTCCAAGAAGGCCCGAAAGGGTCACAATGGCCTCCAGACGGCCAAGATGACCTTCAAGATGCCCACGTGTTCCCCGAAGGCTTTCCAAACCGATTCGGGGAACACATGGTCCGATGGCTTGGCAGGTCTGGCCTCAACGTTCGGCCACATAGGCGCTTCCGCAAAGGCAGGGGGCGGCGGTGATTCGCCGTAGGCGTCTTCGATCAGCCGTTCCCTGTTGATTCATCACAAGGGTGTCCGGCGTGCTAGACCCTTTCGGTTTTGGTTGTGGTTCTTTTTCCAGAATGAACTCCCCCCTGGGGCTTCGGCCCGTCCCGCCGGCCACCTGGAAAGATCTTCCAGACCAGGTTCCAAAAGGTTTTTCCTGCTCCAGACGGCTCCAAGACGGCCCAAGATGGCCTCCAAGATCGCCCAAGACGGCCAAGATGGCCTCCAAGACAGCTCAGATGGCCTCGAAATGCCTCCAAGACGGCCCAAGATGCACCCAAGACGGCCTAAGATAGCCTCAAGATGGCCCAAGACGGCCCAAGAGCCCCCTAAGAGGTCTCCAAGACAGCCTCCAAGAGGCTTCCAGGAAGGCCCGAAGAGGCCAAAATCATTGATTTTCCATAGGCTTTTGACGGATTTTGGCATTTTCGCCTTTTCGGCCTTCCGACGGCCCAAGAGGCCCCCAAGATCGCCCAAGAGGTCTCCAAGATGGCCCCATGACAGCCCAAGAGGCCGCAAGATGCCCCCCAGAGGGCCCCAAGACGGCCCACGAGGCCTCCAAGACGCCCAATATGGCCTCCAAGACGGCTAAGATGGCCCCAAGATGCCTCCAAGACGGCCTGAGATGACCTCCAGATGGCCTAAGACGGCCCAAGAGGCCTCCAAGACGGACCAAGAGGCCTCTAAGATGTCCTCCAGGAGGGCCCGAAGAGGCCCAAACCATTTTTTTTTTTTTTTTTGTTTAGGATTTTGGCATATTCGCCTTTTCGGCATTCCGACGCCTCGAGACGGCCGAAGAGGCCCTCAAGATCGCCCACGACGCCTCCAAGATGGCCCAATGACGGCCCAAAAGGCTCCCAAGACGGCCCCAAGAGGGCCCAAGGGGCCTCCAAGGCGGCCAACATGGCCTCTAAGACGGCTAAGCTGGCCCCAAGATGCCTCTAAGGCGGCCCAAGATGCACCCAAGACGGCATAAGATGGCCTGAAGATGGCCTCAAGATGGCCCAAGACGGCCCAAGAGGCCCCCACGAGGCGTCCCAGATGGCCCCCAAAGCGTACAGGAGGTCTTCCAGGAGGGCACGAAGAGGCCAACATCATTGATTTTCCTAAGGTTTTTGACAGATTTTGGCATTTGCTTCTTCTCGGCATTCCGACGGCTCAATACGGCGCAAGAGGCCCCCAAGATTGTCCAAGAGGCATCCAAAATGGCCCCATGACGGCCCAAAAGGCTCCCAAGACGGCCCCAAGAGGGCCCCCAAACGGCCAAAGATGCCTCCAAGACGCCCACCATGGCCTCTAAGAACCGCTGATGTGCCCCAAGAGGGCCCCAAGACGACCCAGACAAGCCCCCAAGATGGCTTCCGACGGCGTCAGACAAGCCCGGAACGCCAAAGAGGCCCCCAAGAAGCCCCCAAAGGCCCCCCCAAACCCTCCAAGAGGCCCCCAGGAAGCTCCCAGGCCCAAGAGGCGCCCAAGAGGCCTCCTCCTCCTGCTCCTCGCCTTTTTTCCTCATCCTCCCCCTCCTCCTCTTCTTGCTCCCCCACGCGTTCCCCGAAGTCTTTCCAAACCGACTCAGGGAACAACTGGCCCGATAGCTTGGCCAAGCTCTGGCCCAGCTGTCGGCCACAGAGGCGCTTCCAAAGGGGCAGGGGGCGGCGGTGATTCGCCGTAGGCGTCTTTGATAATGATGTCGAACCTTCGTCGATGCGATGGCGGCGTCGGGATGACACCAACGCCTACGCAATCGCGGACTGCACATAGGGCATAATAAAGCACGGCTCAGTCCTGACCTTCCCTTGGGTGCCTGTCTGACTGGCAGGCAAGGCTTTCCCGAACCTGGTTAACGCATGTCGAATGACATACTTTTATCCCCAGGTCGGGGCCCAGCACGTCTGCACCACTGCGGGCCAACACTGCCTCTGAGACCAGGACTCCCATCTTGGCAGCCCGAACGAGGTGAAGGAGATCCATCGGCGTCGGCTCCAAGACCATCCAACGTTGGTCCTGTTTGGCCCAGTGGGAACGGGCCCCTCGGGGTGATTTTCCTGCTTCTTCAGATCATTGGTGGGGTGCCTGTCAGGGCCCGGCTTAGGAAAGAAGCCCGCTCCCGCCCACGCGTAGACCCCACACCTGAAGCACACCATCCCCCACACTCTGCACTTATCGGGCGTTGGCAGAACTGGGTTTAGTGGGACCGGGTTTAATGATGTGTACTGGGGGACGCCCCCCCGCCCCGTTCCACTAACCGGAACTGCCGTCACCCAAAAACACACCAACTACGGCAGACCTGGTTCAATGATTCTGGCCAATTTAGGGGCTGCAGGGCCCTACCACTAACCGGGTCCCCTTACCTGGGGTCCTGGCTATACCCGGGGTCCTGGCTATACCCGAACTTAGTTAGTCGTCATCCTCCTCCTCCCTCCCTCCCGCCTCCTTCCCCTCCGTAGTGCCCACAGGCGCTGACGACGAGGCAGAGCAACAGGTGGGCACCACCGACGAGGCTGGAGCGCACGACGCCAGGCCAAGCCTTTGTTCCTCCTGATTTTTTTGTTGCGGCCAAGTGAGGGCCCTCAGAGGCCGAAAAAGGATAACAACAAAGTATGTCTTGATTTGTTCGATACGTTAGAGATCTGGGACTTGTATTTCCACCTTGCCTCCCAGGGCGACATCGCCGAATCCCAAGAGTAGCGCGAGGGCCATGCTCCCCCTACCCCCCCACCTCTCCTCCCAGGGCCAGGGATGGGGCGAGATATTCAGCCACTGGGACAGTCTCGCCCCCTCCTGTGAGGAATCCAAGCCCACAACCTATAAACAACCCTGGATCAGGTCTAACGAGGATCTCTGGCTCACACACAACAGCCTGTGAACATCTGGGACTGCGGGTAATTCTGTGCTCTATATCTTGGGGAGCAAGAAGCCAGGGACAAGTCCTGTCAAAATGTCCCGCTGTTCAGAAGCCAGGCGAAACCTGGCAAACCCGTGGCTGTTAAAACGGAGCTCTGGGACATTCTTTTTTTCTTCCGGAAACAGCCCTTTTACTATCTAGTGCGCTGAGTTCTATTCCAGGAATTTGTTTTTTCTTCCCGGAAGACCGTTTTAGCAGCCACGGATTTGCCAGCCCTCGCCCAGCTTCTGAGCTGTCCCGCGCGGGGCAGCACCCAGGGAGTGCCCTCAGGAATCGAGCCTGGCCGCTGCAGTCCCTGCGACAAAATCCTTCTGGCATTGATGCCAGTTCTGGCCAGTTGCCGACGTACGCCACTCGCCCAAGCCATGATCGATGCAGCAACTGCTGGACCCAATCTTGTACCTTGGGGCACCTGCTGAGCATCGTTCAACCGATCCCTATCCCCACTGGCGTGGCCTGGGCCCCACTGGCCGATTTATCCCCGAGATGGGGATCCAGGCGGCTCCCTTCGGGCTTCGAGGGGCATTATCCCCAACTGGGGTGGTGGGATGGTGGGGATCGGGATGGGGATAGGGATTACGGACCCGTGGCACCACGGGGGGGCGCATCCACTGGTCCTGGGCAGCAGGCTCGGCCCTCGCGCGCGCCTCCCCCGCGCGCCTCCCCGCTCCTCCTCCCTCGTCCCCCCCCTCCTTGCGCCTCCTCTCCTCCTCCCCCTCCCCCCCCGTTCGGCCTCCGGTCCTCCTCCTTCATCCTTCGTCCCCTCCTCTCGCACTCCCTCCCTCCCTGCCTCCCGCCCTCCTGGCCGGGATCGGTGGGTATGTGGATGGCGGGCTGATGATGATGCTGACGATGCTGACGATGCTGACGATGCTGACGATGCTGCTGATGATGATGATGATGATGATGATGATGATGATGATGATGATGATGCTGATGATGATGATGATGATGGTGGTGGTGGTGGTGGTGGTGGTGGTGGTGGTGATGAGAGGGACCTGGCCGAGAGAGAAGGGGCGAAGGGGGGCGGAAAGCTCGGGCCGAGCGTCGCCAGCCCAGACGACGCCGTTGTACTCGTCGGGCCTGGGGCGGGGTGGGAGGGAGGACGGACGGACGGAGGAGGGAAGACGGACGGAGGGCGGAGGATGGAGAAGGAACGAGGGATGGAGGATGGCGGAGGAATGAAGGGTGGACAGGGGATGAGGGATGGAGGATGCAAGAGGGAATGGGCGAATGGTTGGGGAGTGTCGAGTGGACATTTTGTGCACCTTTGATGGACGGCCGAACGTGCCGACTGCGGAGGACGGACGGAGGACGAAGTCTGAAGGACGGAGGAGGATGAGAAATGGAGGAGAAGCGGCAGGAAGAGGATGATGTGAGGAGGATGAGGGGGAGGAGGAGGAGGAGAAGGAGAAGTGGAGGAGGAGGGGGATGAGGAGACGGAGGAGGATGATACGAAGGGAGAGGAGGATTCTGTCGCCAGCGCGGGCGCGCGCGCGCCTCCCCCTTCGCCTCGCGAAAGTCTGGCCAGCGTGGCCTCGCGTCCGACTTCGCCCCCCGTGCGATCCCGGAGCGGCGGGCAGATCGCCGGGGGGCCCGCGGCGTGAGAGGTGCCCAAGAAGGCCATCTGCTCTTCGAGGCTCATATAGCTTGCCGTCGCGCCCCTTCGCCCTCCGCTCGCGCCGCTCGGGGCGCGCGAACTCCATCGTTTGAAGACGACGAAACATGGGCTCCGCCACCGCCAACTTGCCGCCGGCAAGGGGGTCATGCAGGGGCCCGAACTTCAGCGCCTGAGCAGTGCGTTGATGCTCGGGCACGCCCCAACTCAGAGACTCCAGCTTGCGCGCGCTCCGAAAGCATTCGCGACGCCGGTCGAGCCCGAGCCCCTCCTGGTTCGCAAGTTCCAAACGCCATTTAGGTCGACCGAGGCCCGGGGAAGTCCCCATCGTCGGTGATTCCCTCGCGCGTGACGTCCGCCACCATCTCGGCCTACGCGCGCTCGCGCCTGCCCTGGCAGCTTCGTCGTGCAGCCGTGACGCGGGCGCCCCCGCCTGCGGCCTTGTCGAAGAAGCACCGCTCGGTGTCTGGCGCCGCTTCCTCCGCGAAGGGCGAACTGCTGCCGGCCGGCGCGTGGGTGCCCCTGCTTCCTCAGCTGCGCGCCGCGCGGGCGTGTCCCGCCGCGATATCTCCGAACCGGCGCCCCCCGCCCGGCGGCGCAACGCCCCTGCAAGGACCTTTGCGGCCGCGGTGGGGCGGGGGCCTCCCCTGGGCCGCAGCCGCCGCTGCCGACTCCGCGCTGGGCGGCCCGTCCGCGACGGGCGCGACGGCGCCCAGCCCCGCTGCGACGGGCGCGCCGGCGCCAGGCACCGCAGCCACGGCGCCGTCGCCGATGGGCTGCCCAATGGCGTCCGCGCCCAGCAGCCAGGCGATGCCCGCGGCGGGCAACGCGCTGGCGGCGCTCGCCCCTCGCTCTCCGCCGCAAGGCAGCCACCTCGGACGACGTGTTCGACCGGTCCTCGGCGCGCGCGTGGCCGTCCAGTGTCGCCGCCGCGCGCAGCTTGCCAGCCGAGTGCGCCGACGCCCCGTGCGCCTTGTGCTGGTGCCGGAGCGGATGGCCGCCCGCGTTGTGCAGGAGGCAGCGCCAACTCCTATCCGCGACCAGGCTTCTTGCGAGCGGCCCAAACAGCGGCCTTCGCCGCGTAGCTCACCACGGTCTGGGCCAAGTACTCGGGACCCCGCTTGAACAACCACCCCCACATCAGACACTTCGGAGATGCGGTCGGGCCTCCTGAAGCTTGAGCAGCCGCGGAAGCGGTGAAGGTCGACTGGGGGTCGAGCGGCCGAAACACGATGAGACGCACAGGATCCACGTACAAGTGCAAAACATAATGGTGATGATGATGCTAATTCGCCGGCCCAACGGGCCAGAGGCGTGCTAAGATCTCCGGTAACTGGTTAATAATATTTCTAGTTCGCGCGCGCGGGGCGGCCCCTGGGGGTCCCCCGGCGAAAAGTACCCCGACAGCAGCCCGGGAAGGTCTGTCTACTCAGAGATGGTTTTCCTCCTGGGTACGGCCTCTCAGGCCCCCCAGAGCGCGCCAAGAGGGCCACACGAGGCCCCCAAGACTGCCCAAGAGGCCCCCGAGACGCCCAAAGGACGCTCCAAGACGCCGAAGATGATCCCAAGACGGCCCAGGGAGCCGTCAAGACGCTCCAAGTGGCCTCCAAGAGGCCTCACAAGAGCGCCCCGAGAGGCCAAAACCATCAATTTTACGATGGTTTTGGAAGGATTTGGGCCTTGTCGCATTTTCGGCTTTCCGATGCTCCAAGACGGCCCAAGAGTCCCCCAAGAGCGCACGAAGACGGCTCAAGAGGCCCCCAAGAAGGCCCTTAGAGAGCCCAAACGGGCCCCGAGACGGCCCAAGAGACGCCCAAGACGGCCCAAGAGAGCCCCAAGCTGGCCCCAAGAGGGGCCCAAGATGGGGACCACGAACCGACACCTCAAGCCTTCCGCCCCAGGAGGCCCCAGGAGGCCCCGAGAGGCCCCCAAGATGGCCCAAGATGCCGCCAAGAGGCTCCCAAGAGACCCCAGGAGGCTCGAAGGAGGCTCAAAAGAGGCCCTACAAGGCTTTAAAAATGTCTCCCAGGCGCCCCCGAACGGCCTCTCAACAGACCCCAGGGCCTCCCAAAGAAGCATCTGGACGACGGCCCTGTTTGGCCCCAAGAGCGCCGCAAGATGCCATCGAGAGGCTTCCTCCTCCGCCCTTTTCTCTTCATCCTCCTCCGTTCCTTCTCATCCTCTTCTCCTCCTCGCCTCCCCCTCCCCATCCTCATCTTCCTCCTTCCGGCGGCGCCGAAATGGCCCCGAGCCCGCGCCGAAGAAATAGCGATCATGCAATACGGGCTGGCGGAGTGAGCGAAGCGATTGAATAATGATGATGAGGGAGATGGGGAGGAGGAGGAGGAACATGATGATGATACTGAGGATGGTGGTGCAGATGCTGATGATGCTTATGATGCATATTCTGCTGGTGATGCGGATGGTGCGGGTGATGGTGGTGGTGGTGGTGATAAAGGTGATGATGATGCGGATGTTGCGGGTGCTATTGACGATCAGTGTGAGGATGATTGCGATGCTGATGCTGCTGGTGCTGGTGTTGAAAACGATGAGGATGACGATGCTGATGCTGATACTGCGGATGAACATGATAATGCTAATGGTGATACAAACTATGATGATGCGGAGGATGCGGATGATGATGCTGATGAGGATAATGATGACGATGCTGCTGATGTTGCTGGTGATGGCGATGATGATGATGATGATGATGATGATGATGATGATGATGATGATGATGATGATGCGGATTGTGATGATGATGATGATGATGATGATGATGTTGGTGATCTTGTTGTTGATGATGGTGATGAGAGTGCTGATGCTGATGCTACGGGGGAGGAACAGGAAGACGATAATAACGAGGACTGGGGGGGACAGGATCAGCAAAAAGGGGGAATTATGGGGGGCGGAATGGACCGCAGCATTTCGCGCCCAAGATGCTTCTAGTTTCTCACGTCGTTTTGGATCCCCTTGCGCCCTCTGGGCTTCGCGAGTTCTCTGGAGGCCGTGGGGGGCCTCCCTGGGAATGCTGGGAGCTTGTGGGCCAGGGCCACTCTCCTCCCCACACGTCAAACGTCCGACGATATGATTTCTCAATCCGCAACCCCAGACCTTCCGACCCCTTTCCCCGGGTGCTGTCCCAGTCCCACACACACATGTTTGATGGCCCTTGGGCCCAACATCAAACACAACACCACTGGGATCGAAACGCAAATTTTTCGGATGACTGGGTCGCCCGCTACCCGATACCTTAGTCCACTCAAAACCCCTCCCTGGCCCCACCCTTGCCCATCTTTCGAACCGCGCCCAATCGTGGCGACGTTAACCTCCAGAAATCGAGCATGGGATCGACTACAGAATTGGTTTACCCCAGAATTGATTCCCTTGTCGAAGATAGAAGAGAAAACACGTGCAATGCTCGTAGATCTACGAAGCTTATACGTCTTTTCGTGTACTCGACGAGGCAATCGATCGTGGGGTAAACCAGCTCCGTGGTCGATCCCTGCTCCAAGAAGCGCCCCAGCAACCTGCCGGAACTACACCGCCTTTCGGGCGCCCTCCCCGTGGCGCTCCCTCGGGTTTGGACGCCCGAAATGGGCACGGAACACATGGGTACAATGCCCAACAACAAATGTTGTCCCAAACCAACAGCGGCCGCTGTTGGGCAGGCGGCCTCCTGTCGCGAATGGACACCGGCCGCGGCGGCGCGGACAGCGAGCCCTGTCCAGAATGAACAGGAACTGCTGTTGGGTATTGTACCCATTCTTTCCGTACCCATTTCGGGCGTCCAGAGTGGCGCTCCCTCGGGGCGCCCTGGCGCGTCCTGGTCATGCCGTAGAGCGGGGTCCCGGGCTGTATGTCGACCTTCCCCGGGCGGGCGCGCGCGCCGGGCGGCCGTGCGCCCCTCGGGACCCTCCCCTGCCCGGGTCGCCAGGCGTCCCCGTCCTAGTCACCCCGGAAAGGGAGGAGGGATCCTCCCTCCCCTCCTCCCCTCCCGTGGTCCTCCTCCCCCCCCTCCTCCAATCCTCACCTCCGTCGATCCTCCCCCTCCTTCCCTTCACACTCGTCTTGGAGAACTGCAGCAGTTTCAAGGTGGAGGGCAGGCCGTGTTCAAAATGCGGTGCTCGCTTGAGCGCCGGGCAGATTCTTTTGTGAACACGTGTAGCAGCTTCAAGGATGGAGGGCGTCTCTCTTGAAAAAGGTGGCTCTCGCCTGAGCGCTGTGGCCATTCGTCTCAAAAGTGTGTAGCAGCTTCGAGGGTGGAGGGCGGTTCCTTTTCAAAATGCAGCTTTCGGATCAGCGCCGCGCACACTCGCCTGAAGAGCTGACACCAGTTTAATGAATCCGTCTGGTTCAAGATCCAGGAATTGTGTTCTGGCGCGATTCAGGACTGTCTGGACGCAACAGTCACTTTGATTCGCGGTGTTGAAGTCCCAAGAATGATGTTTCGACACGATTGGGCTTATAATACGGTTGTCTTCCAATAGGGCGCTTCCCGCTGAAGCGGGACCAAAGATGCAGGGCGTATTCCAAAATCGTTGATGCGTCTTGGGTTCGCAGTGGTCGATCCTCCTCCTCCTCCTTCTCCTCGTCCTTCCTTTTTCCCTCGACCCTCTTCCCTCCGTCCCTTTCTCCGAAGGTGGGGCCGCGGGACAAGAGAGGAAGGGCGGAAAAGGGGGAAGGCGGAAAACGGACGAGGGCCGCTGGAGGGATGGAAGGGGGGAGGAAGGAACCCATGGAAATGGAGGGAACGGAGGAGGAGCACGGGAGGCCGGAGAAGGAAGGAGGGGGGGCGGCTGGACGAGGACGGGGGGGGGGGGGTGGGGCCCGGGGGGGGCACACACGGGAACGGGCGAGAGCAGGACGAGTGCGTTCTCCTCCTCCACCCCCTCCTCCCCAGGAGGCGCCTCGAGAGGCAGCGTCGCCTCGGCGGGGCCGTTGCTGGTGTGCAGGCCTGGGCAGCCCGGCCAGGGCGAGCACGGAGGAGGGAGGGAGGAGAGCGAGAGAGAACAAGGGAACCCGGAAGAAGGAGGGGGGGGAAACGATGGGGGGTCCTTCCCTCCATTTCCTCCTCTCTCCGTGCGTTCCCCCTCCCACTACGGCATCTTTCTCTGCTCCCTTCCATCCCCTCCACTTCCTCTTGCCCATCCCCGCCTCCTCCCCTTCTCTTTCCTGTTCCTCCTCCCCCCCTCCCCGTCCCCCTCCTCCTCCTCCTCCTCCTCCTCGTCCTCGTCCTCCTCTCCCTCCTTCTCCGATTGTCTTTCGCTCACGGCTTGTCGCCGGGCGCCTCGCGTCGCTCGTTCCGTCGCTGGCAGCGCTGTTGTCCGCGTCCTGGCCGCGACGCCTCTCGAGGCTGCCCGCGGGGCGCTACGGGGCGAGTGCCAGCCCGCGGAACACTGAACTCTCAGGAGTGAGGTCGCCGCGACGCTGGCGGACGCGACAGCCTGGAAACGTCGGGAGCGGCCAAGAGGGGGGTGTCCAAGAGGGGGGGGGTGCAAATCATGACCGGCGGCATGTGCGCGGCCCAGCGGGGGGGCCAGGGACGTAATGAAATAAGAGGAGGCGCCATGAAATCTGGGGAAATATCATGACCCCCGCCATGATATCCGCCCCCCCCCCAGTCATCACGCCCCTCTTTTCCGCCCCCGGAAACGATTTGGATCCAAAGTTAAGTGGGTCCCAAGCTGGGCGCACCAGCCCGGGACCGACTTGACTCTGGAGTGAAGTCGCCGCGGCGATGGGCTGGGTGCCGCGACGATGGAGCGGCGAGGATGGAGGAATAACACCACAGTGCGTACGGGGGAAAACGCCACAGCGCCGACGCAACACCCAGCAGCTGCAACCAATGGTGCTATGGGCACAACAACTGTCGTCAGCATGTGAAGCTTCGATCGAACATAGCAGCGGATGGCGTCGGTGATCAAGGGTGCGCATTGGGGCTTATTGTGTGGAGTTTCTACAACGTGCTACACAATTATTTCTTGCAACCTATGTGGTTCAATCTACGTTGTGCAACCCACGTGGTGCAAACAATGATGCGGTGCAACGTATGTGGCGCAATTCATGTCATGAGCTCTATGTGGTGCAATCTATGTGGTGCAACTGATTTTAACAAACGAGTTGTCCACTCCACTGCTCACGCAAACATCCCACCCACCCACCCGCAATTTGGTTTACAAAATCTCTTAAGACCGTGACGGTGGGTACCAAATGGCACTTGGCAACGACAACGACGCCGACGACGACAGCGACAACGACGACGACGACGCCGCCGACAACGACTACGACGACACCGGCGACGTCTCCAACGACTTCGCCGACACCGACAACGACGACGTCACCGACGACGACGCCAACGCCGACGACGACGACGACGATGACAACGACGACGACGATGACGACGTAGACGACGACGACAACGACGACACCGACGACGACGACGTCAACGACGCCGACGACGACGACGACGACGGCGGCGACGACGACGACGCCGACGTCGACGACGACGAAAACGACGACGACGCCGACGACGACAAAGACGACGACGACGTCGCCAACGAAGACGACGACGAGGGAGGAGGGAGGACGACGACGGCGACAACGACGACAACGACGACAACGACGACAACGACGAGGGAGGAGGGAGGACGGCGACGGCGCGAACGACGAAGGAGGAAGGACGGCGACGCCGACGACGACAACGACGAGGGAGGAGGGAAGACGACGACGACAACGACGACGACGACGACGACGACGGCGACGAAATAGGAGGGACGACGACGAGACGCCGACGACGGACGACGACGACGACGAGGGAGGAGGAGGAAGGACGACCACGGCGACAACGACGACGGAAACGACCACGACGCCAAAGAGGACGACGACGACGAACACGAGGAATGACAGAGGACGACGTAGGCGACGACGACGACGACGCGGGAGGAGGGAGGACGGCGACGACGACGATGACGACGACGCAAGAGCGCGCGCGCACGCTTTTGTTGAAAGTCCGTGTTGTTGGGTTTTGAAGGATTTCGGCATACGCGCGCGACGACGCGCGCGTCAGCACTCCGTCCCATTTATTGCAGCGGATTCTCGCGACGGCACACGCGCCAGGGCGTTCGACAGATTTCGACATGCGCGCGCGCGAAGCCCGCTTGGTATAAGTCAGTGTTGCGACATCCTGTGCATTTATGTTTTTTTTTGCATCTCGATTGCGAAATCCTTCCGGTACCAAGAGGTTTTTGAATGATTTCGGTATGCGCGCGCGATGATGCGCGCGTGTGCACTTCGTCGTCTTTTTTTTTGCAAGCGGATTCTCGAACACGTCTTATGTTAGAACAAACAAGGAAACTTCAGGGGTAGCGATGCCAGCCCCCTGGGATAGTGTAAAATTCAGATTGAGGATGGACATGTGGTCAGAATCATATAGGATTTAGGGGGGGTGATAAAGCCGGGGGGGGGGTAGAGTCTATTCTCTCTCCATAGAAAGGAGAATCAACTTCTTTTCGCAACGCGTTGGCAATCCCACTTCTCGCCCAACCATCCCACCCACCCACCCGCAACTTGGTTTGTAAAACCCATGCGCCGGCGATTGCGACGAGTGCTTGGCAAAGGCTGGAGCATCTCTGCACTTGCGCTAACCCGCGCATGCTTGCATGCGAAGCGGCCAGCTAGTTTGGTGCTACCGACGCGGCCGCGGTGGCGCTGATCGCTGTGCACTTCCCACGGGGAACCTCGCTGCGAGTCGGCAGCTTGGGCGGTCGCAGAATCGTGGCAACGTCGACAACGACAGACACGATAACGGTAGTAGCGATGCTGGTGACGATGGTGACACTAGCGACGGCAAGGCCACTGACGGCGCCGATGCTGATCATGCCGACGACGATGACAGCATCCTCGCGTTGGCGATGACGGCTTTGGAAGAGTTCGACATGCGCGCGCGGCCGACGCGCGAGTGGCCCGTATGGAATTATTCGACGCGGATCGTGCCCCCCCCCAGCACGCGCGCAAGGGCGTTCGAAGGATTTCTACGTGTGGAGCGATGGGCCAGGTTGGCCAAAGCGAATGAACATGTCAGAGAAACGAGGGTAGGGGCGCGAGCGCAGGCAAGCATTTTTGAAAACGGATGTTGCAAACCATGCTTTTCTTATACAACTCTTTCGGGACGCTCGATTTTGACATCCCTACGAAACACGAAATTCTCATTCCAATCGGCCCCACGTCCCTGGAACAACCGCGGGACCATCTGAACCACCCCCAAAACCCACTGGACAACCCGGCCCGCAACTCCCTGGACCACCTGCTGGACAACCCGGACCACCACCCCGGACCTACCGCACCCCCAGTACTCCCAGCCGGACCACCTGCACCTGGACCACCCAAACCACCCGGACCAGCCGACCTGCCCAAACCATCCGGTCAACCCGGACCATGCACGCAGATCACCCGGATCACTCGTACCACCCGGACCACCCGGACCAACTGGGACCATCTATAGCTCAAACGACCACCCGAGACACCCAGACTTTTCGGACCACTCGGGCCACCCGGACCAATCCCATCACACCACCCGGACCACTGGACCACCAGGACAATGACCCCGACCCCCCGGACCAACCGGACTACCTGCTGAGCGCGGCGGGGCTCGCTATACGTGCTTACGCTAGTTCGAAATATGTTATGCTAATCGTGGCCTCCCTATACAAATAGCTATAACTAATTTGATGTAGATCTTTATACCTGGCGTAACTGGCCTCGTAACAACCGTGATTGCCATGTGTTGATGTTATCGCTTTGTGATGTTGCACCTGGACGTTCTATATTTCGATGTGTTGGATTGCGGATTTCATGATGTTCAATACCATAGGTCATTCTGTGTACTCTGACTCTTCGCTGTGGCCGCAATCGGTGACTACATAGTTGCGCGCGCGCAAACCCAAGAGACAAAAATCCACTTTCGCAAACCGTGTTTTCAGGACTACTTGACTTGGACGTGTGGGCTTGGGGATGAAGATGGTTGAGGTTGGAGGTTCTAGCGTGTCATTGTTTCTCGTTGGAACATTGTTGGGATACATATGGCGTTATGGTGTTTGTGATGTTCCATGCCAGATTTTTCTGACAGTCACTTGCTACATTCGATTGCAACACTGTTGTGTGCGCAAGCCCAAAAGACGGGAACCCAACATAACACATAGGAGCTGCCGAAATTCGTACAGCAGGATTTCGTTGCTATCGCTTACATGTGTGATTTTCTCGCTTCGAATAACAGTGCTGTTTATGTCGGTGCTTGTTTGCCAACTGCCGTCCAACGTCCATGAACACCACATTCACGAACAACGTCAAAACAAATTACTTGGGGCGATCTTGAGCCACCTTGGGGTCCTGTTGGGTCCTCTTCGGGCCCTCTCGGGGAGGGGTTGCCGCGATCGTTACACAGAAGAAGATGGGGGAATAAACTGCGAGAGTAGGAGGAAGGGGAGGAGGAGGAGGAGGAGGATGTGGAAGGAAAAGGAAGGGGAGGAGAAGGAGAAGGAGGAAGAAAAAGAGGAAAAAGAAAAACACAACGACGACCACGACGGCACCGGCGCCAGCGACGACGACGACGACGAGCCAAACACAAAGGATTTCGCGGATCTTTCGCTCCGCGAGCCTCTTCAATTCGCGGGCTTCGGGCCTTCTTGGCCTCCTCTCGGGGCTCTCTTCGGGCATCTTGCGGCTATCGTCAGGCCTCAGAGGCTCATTGGAAGCGGAAAACGCGCACAAATAACACAATATGGTGTTCTTAAAATGTGGGAAATGGTGGCCTCTTGCGGAGGTCCGTGTAGGGTTCCGTGTGCACTTGGAGCCGTCTTCGGGCCTCTCGGAGGTATGCCGGAGGCTATACCGATCCATCTTGGGATGAAGCTTTCGCGGAGGAGCGCGGAAGAATGCGGAAGACTGCTGGGGAGCGCG